CAAAATGATACCAGAGTAGAAATTGGAATTAACAGCGGAGGAAGCTGACCACCTGAAGATGAGTACAAAGAAATATAAGGGCAGAGATGACACTTTCAGTCACGAGCAGATAATGGCCCCTCGCGAGGAAGAATGGATGGAGGAGAATATTTCTTTCAAGGAGATGTTGATGCGGCATAATGGGGAATGGGAGATGAATGATGCAGAAGAAGAAGAAGCGGCTAGGGAGGCAGAAGATGTGACACAAGAAGATCAGCCTGATTCAAATGAAAACCCCCAATCGGAGGTGTTTTGGGAAATGGACAAGGATGGAAAAATCAACTTCAAGCTATCGAATGAATTCAAGAAGAAGGCTTGGAGGCCATGGAGGACGTCAGTTTTTGTGAAATTATTGGGAAAGAAGCTAGCTTTGCCAGTTATGAAGAAGAGGCTTGAGAACCTCTGGGCGAGGGAGGGCCAGATATATGTCACAGATGTTGAAAACGGTTTTTTTTTGTAAGATTTGTGGACCAGAAGGATATGGATTATGCGATTACTGCAGGGCCATGGGTTCTATTCGATCATTACCTGACGATTAGGTCCTGGGAACTAGATTTTCAGCCTTTCTCTGCTTCGATAGGTAGAATCATGGCGTGCGTAAGGTTACCTGGGTTTCCGGTTGAGTATGTGAATACTGAGCTATTGAGAGAAGTAGGGAATTGGCTGGGTAAATTCATTAAAGTTGATGCAGCCACAACATCTCTTGCAAGAGGAAAGTTTGCTCGAATTTGTGTGGAATTGGATTTGAGCAATCCTCTACAAGCAGAATACAAAATTGATGGCAGGTTAAAGAAGGTAGAATATGAGGGTCTTCATTTAGTGTGCTTTTGTTGTGGGAAATATGGTCATCGATCAGAGAGTTACCCCAATAAGATGTCCCAAGAGATTGTTCTGCTAGAAGAAAAACAGGATAAACAAGGTAATTAGGGAAGTTCTATTCAGATTCCTGAAAGTCAGAAGGAAAAGGAGGAAGAAAAATATGGCCCCTGGATGTTAGTTAATAAAAATAGGAAGTCTAACAGAGGTGGTTCAAAGGAAAAAGATCATCTGTCTACCAGTAAAGAGAATGTTGTTAGCAAGTTAAAACAAGGCTGAAAATGTTAATATATTATGAGGCTTTGGGTATACGACTTAGGTCTGATTGGCTCTAGGCCAAGTGGGAGCTTGTTAGTATTTGGGTGTCCTAGAGACAATCTTATGATTAAATAAGGACATAGATGTAGACCTTTTTAATATTGTCGCAAATAAATAAAAGCACTCTTTATCTTGTTTCATAATTCTGTCTCGATATTAATGTTAATATATTATGAATAACTTGATAAACTCCGTGGAATAAAATAGGTATCTCTTGAGTATCTGTGATGAGATCACAATCATGAGGATTCAAGAATACCGGATGTTTATTCCTAATTTTATGTTCCTAGTCTAGAGATACTGAGAATGAGGTCAGTAATCTCGGGTAAGACTAGCACGACTTATCTACTTGTATATGGATACAAGGTATAGACCTCATGTGCTACAGATATGGAGATGTCTTAGCTAAAGTCGTGGGTGGACCTATAAGGGTATAGCTCGCACTGAACAGACCCACAAAAAGACTCTATGAGGAACTCTCACAGAGAGTATCATTAGAGTAGTCTCTTTATATTTGGGTATGTCTTTCCTAAGACCAGAAGTTATTACCTAGACTGTGTTCTAGAAGGCATGCTTTGATTGTGCACCTCGTCTGCCTGAAACATGGAGACTTATAGGTATACTGTTGGGCTTGTCCTGAAAGAACACTGGGCTAGGGTGATAAGCTGAAGGAATTCGTCAAATCTCTGTGAGAGATTAGGTTATCTGTAAACCGGAGAAATCGGGATGACATTTACAGGGACTCGGGAATCTATGCATAGTAAAAGAGATCATGAGATGATCTGCCTTTAGAGTCTGTAAATTGAAGATTCCCTATTTCGAATAAAGCTTACCCTAAACCGCAGGGGTTGATACGCTTCCTTACCCTAGGTTTTATGGGAAGGTAACCGAGACGAAAGGAAATATATACGGCAACCAAATATGTGCAATAGGATGATCAAGTCACTAATCTAACTAGTTCTGGGGCAACGAAGCATTGCTAGTGCTCTGTGTTGTCATTAGATGGGTTGTGGGCTTATTGGGCCCAAGCCCATTTATGTCAGTGGCTATGTTGGACCTAATGGGTCACACACTAACACCTAATTGTCTAGATGCTCTAGCATTAATGGTATTGGGCCTAACAATTGTTATTAGCCCAAGAAGTAGTTTGAAACTCCACAGATAGGGTGGAGGGCGCATGGATCTAATTAATGGGCTTGGATAGTCCAAGACATTACTAATTAATTTAATTAGTTAAATTAATTATCAAATGTTTAAATTTTTAATTTTGAATTTGAATTTTGAAATTTGAAATTTGAATTTGAATTTTGAATTTTGAATTTTGAATTTGAATTTTGAAATTCGAATTTTGAATTTGAAATTTGAAATTTGAAATTTGAAATTTGAAATTTGAAATTTGAAATTTGAAATTGGAATTTTGAAATTTGAAATTTGAAATTTGAATTTAAATTTTGAAATTTGAATTTGAATTTCGAATTTGAATTTGAATTTAAAATTTAAGAGTTTGAAAGTTTGAATTCAAATGTTTGAAATTCGAATTTGAATTGGCTATGAAAAGTTGTTTCATAACAAAAGGATAAGATGAGATCTTGTTGGAACATATCAAGAGGAAATCTTTTGGACATAATCTAAGAAGATTTGGGGTGCTGATTTGGCTGTTGGTTAGTCATCAGAATCAGCTCCAGAAGATACGATCTGTTGGGAGAATATTTGAGTGATTTGATTCAAGTTTGAATGCAACTACTCAAATATATCTGGTCATTATTTAGGCTATATGGGGCGCACCATATAACTGATTATATGATGATTTATGATCAGATATTTGATTAGGTTTTGAACCTAATATATCATAAAGATATGACAGGATGTTGTTGGCAAGATTTGATGAGATTTGATTTGCAACAAATCCTATTCTCTCTCTCTTTGATGGAGCGCCCTTTTTGAAAGGAATTTTTATTGATTAAAAATATGATTTGTTTTTAACAAATAGGCTCCTCTTGTGCGCCTCTATATATATGTTCCTTCTAGGGTTTTAGAAAACCAACCAAGTCATTCTTTTCTCCTCTCCTGCGCCACTTTTGTGAAGTTTTCACATTGAAAGCTTCACTCTTTCAAACACTTTTACCTAGCCTTTCTCTTCACACAGTGTGCGCTTAGCAAGCCTCATTGTAGTGATAACTTGGCGGTTTCACAAGAAGGAGTTCTTGCACCGAGACGCAGTGGGTGGTGTGGATCAACGTTAGAGGGTCTGAACCCTTCAGACCTACCTTGATCATCACGAGTTTTCACGAACAAGGTAACATCATGCTTTCCTAAAGCATGATCTTGAATGCATGTGTGTTCCGCAATGAAAAAGTTTTGTTTTTCCCTCCAGCATGCATCGGCCTTCAAGGCCATTTCCAACTTTCAAATCTGTCCCTCTTTAATCGATTAACTTGAATATTTAATCGATTAAATGGTCAAACATACAAAAATATTTGTTGGAAGATTTAATCGATTAAATCTCCCTATTTAATCGATTAAATCTCCCTATTTAATCGATTAAATCTCCCAACAGGTAACAAAGGAAAACAAGTCAATATAATTTTTTAATCGATTAAATAGGGAGATTTAATCGACTAAATCTCGAGTCAACCATTTAATCGATTAAATTTTCAATTTAATTGATTAAAGAATAGCAGATTAGTGGATAATTTTGAATCAGGGGAAAAATAGTTATTAATTAATTAATGAGGAGAAAAAGGGTAAAAAAAATCTCTTATCTGGCTCAAATTTAAATTAATCAACACTATAATCGGATACCAAATGTTTTATGGTTGGTATAAAAAAAAAATTTATTTAATGTTTTATGGTTGATGTTATCGGGCTCAAAATTTTTTAATTAGAAGACTTGAATTTTTTAATTATTTGTAATTTTATATGATTTTATTTTGATATAACTAGTAATTTGTATGGTTAAAATTTTAAGCTTTTCAAAAAATTGAAAATTAATCCAATTCAAATTGAATAAAATTGGATTGAGTTGAATCGGATTTAAAAAAATTCTAACCGAATAAATAATTAAATAATCAAACCAAAAAAATTAAATCAGATAATTTTTAGTTCAAAACCAATCCAATTCATAATAGAAACACCCTTAATTGGTATGGCGTGTAATGTATCGCTAATTGTAAGTATTGATGCTATTCTCTTTATAAATTTAGCTTTAGCCAGCTACCAACTATAAAAGCACTAGCATTTCAAGTGAATAGAAGACAATTAAGAATGGCCGGAAAAGATCACGTAAACAAAGAAAAGCACATATGTCAATTACTAAGAAATTTTTTCAATTTAACTAATGATTTCGAATTCAAGTTCTGAATATACAAACAACTTGATAAGGAAAACGTTGATACTTTTGTGATCTTATCTGGCTCAAATTTAAAATAATCAACACTATAATCGGATACCAAATGTTTTATGGTTGGTATAAAAAAAAAACAATTTAATTAATGTTTTATGGTTGATGTTATCTGGCTAAAAAAAAAAAGAAAATTTGTATTGATGGCGCAAATATACGTAAAATAAGTTCCAGTAATTTCATGAAAATTTTTAATGGCAGGTGGAGATTTCAAATTTTAAAAATATTCTTTAAGACGTGAATTAAATAAGTAAAAGTCTCACCTATTTACGTCCTCATCAATAATAACAAAAAAATACACGTTTTTCTTTTGTGTAATAAAAAATAGAAAAAATTATTTATCATTTCAAATGACATAATTTATATTATTTTACTCTTATAAAAAGATAAAATTCATAATTTTTTTCTGTGCTCTCTCTCATGATTTATCTTTTTCTCTGACTTAAAATAACATAACTTTATATTCTTTAAAAGTGACACACATTTTTCTCTAAAAATAATATAATCAAGAATTCACTTTTGGCTCATTAAAGCTTCAATCATAGCCCCCCAATAAAGTGTTCACTGCGGACAAAACAATCGATTAGACCCTGTTGGCCTAAGATGCTACAGCCCAATATTTAAAACACGAGGAATGGAAAAAGATAGTGGACCTTTTTGAAGATGGAAATAATGGAACAAGACAACATAAGTAAAACATACGCCAAACAAATAGGTGACCCTCACCCCAAGTTTTTTTTTTCTTCACAAAAACAAAAAAACAAAAAAACAAAAATGAAATGCATTACCCTATCAAGCGAAAGCCCCCGAACTATTCCCTACAAATTAATAACAATATCATGCAACACCACACAATGACATTGATAAATTCATAAAAAAGAAAAAACAAAGCAAATCCCTAATAAGAGGTAAACAAAAAGCAAGAAAATATTTTCAGGTATTACGGAAATACCAATGGGGTATATTATTTACTAAATATAGTAAAAGATAAAATTTTTTATACTATTCTTATCTTTATGATTATTTTTATTCATATCTCATTTTTTTCCCTTTTCGAAAAAGGAATAGTGACTTTCGTGACGCTGAAAATGTGCTCTGAGAAGTAGATGCACAAGGATATAATTGTCTCAAGGTTCCAATGAAATAAAATTTACATGCTGATATACTTTCATATGTTACAAAAGAATTTAACTGAATTGAAAACCAAACCAAACTGCCCCAAAAAAACTGGTTTTGTAAAACAATTCTTGAACCTAAACTGATTTATGTTGTTTTTTTGCCATATATAATATCCAATCATACCATTAGTTAAATATCAAAATGTTGGGTTTCCATTTGCAAGATATGGGACTTGAAGTCCTACATTGGTTGTATGGACAACTAATGTGGAATTTATAAAGCCTTGAACACTCTCACTAAACCGAACCGACGAATAAATGAGTGAAGTTTGTGAAGAGTAGAATGACGGACTATAACAGAAAGTTGATAATTGCTTTCTCACAAGCTATGTGGATCCATTAAAGTAACATTAAAATAAAAAGTATCCATGAAACGAACATACTCACAAGGAGTGCTTGTTTACAAGTGCTGCAGCTCATCCAATTTAATGTGTCTGTCACATATCCAAATGCCAGGTTCAGAAATCTTGGGCCTGTTGTTGCTCTCCCATTGTTCTTGTAGTAAAGGACACTTCCAAATGTCAAGATCAACTGTAGAATTAGGCAATGTAACTTCTTCTCCTAATGACTCAAGCTTACAACAATCAAGTATCTTCAATTTCTTGAGAGATGTGAGATTTTGAAGCCCTTTGCTATCCAAAGTTTTGAGATTTGATAATCCACGAATCTCTAATTGGGTAAGAGTGGGAGGCAGAAAACCTTCGTCTGGAAAGGACTCCACATCTTCACATTTTCCCTCAACAGAAAAGTGTAAAAGGGAGGTTAGACATGACATATTCCACTCTAGCCTGTGAGTAATGAGTTTGTCACAATCCCTGATTTTGAATGATTCCAAATTAGTAGGCAAACCCCCATTTGGAAGTGACTCAATTTCTGGACAACTCCATACTAGGAGTTCCTTTAAACTTGTGAGAAAACTTTGCATTCTTTCAGGAAGTGACCTTAACTTGTTGCAGTAGCGGACTTTCAATGATGTAAGATTGGGTGTTGGCAATCCTCCATTAGGAAAAGCTACAAAATTAGGACATCTCCATATACACAATGAATGGAGAGAAGTGAGGAGCTCAAGTTGAACAGAAGCAGTTAGATATTCAAGATTTTCACAACCCCAGATGACTAGAGACTTCAGGCTGGGAAAGAAATCCAATGGGAAAGACTTGAGAGAGAAGCAACTATTGTGGATCTCTAATGATTCAAGTGACTGGTGGCACCCATTTATTTGTTCTAGCAATTCTACTTTCCAACAATTGTCAATTGTACGTATAGAGGGAGCACTTGGAAATGAAGTAGCAAGCTGCTTACAGTCTCTCATGGTAAGATTTGTAAGAGATGGAAGATAAATAGGCAAATCCCCAAGTAGAATGGGACATTCCTCCAGATGAAGCTCTCTAAGACAAGGGAAAGCTCTGCAGCTTTCATGATCAACTTCATGATGAGTCCATTTCTCCCATGCTGGCATACTATAAAATGTCAGAATTTCAAGAGAAGGAAAAGGCTGATGATTCCTTGCACAACAACCAACCCCATAGAATTCTGGTCCAATGCTAACAAGACCCTTAAACTTTGAAATATGAAGTTCTTTCAAAGAAGGAAGCTGCCCAAGTGGTGGCATTATGTAGCAGTATTTACAATGTTTAAGAGAAAGACAAACTAGGTGGAAGAATGAATGATCTCCCAGCCAAGTTGGAAATTGTGTACCAGTATAATGCTGTATGTCAAGAACTTCCAAGTTGGTATGTGGCTGTAGCTTGTCAAGTATGTCTTTTTCATGCTGGGAATTATCTGTATCAGCAGCCCGACCCCAATCTAAACTCAACTGGTCAAGGTTTTTCTTGTCCTTAATCTTTGCCTTCATTGCATCATTAGGATCAACCACATGTTTTAAGTTTTGGATCTTCAAAGAACCTCGTAGATGAGATAGTTCCCCTAGTTCACCAATTGAAGAAGCATGCTCTCTGCCCACAACAAAATTGCTCAACTTTTGGAGGCTGCTTAGGTTACTCATGTGCAGTGGCATCCCTTCTAGGCAAGTTCCTGTGATGTCAAGATATCTTAAATTTACAAGACAATGCATATTTCTTGGCAATTTTGTGAGATTAGGACATCTTGCTGCCTTCAATGTTTGCAAGTTGTATAAGGTGCAGATGGAACAAGGCAACTTTTTGATTTGAGTATCAGACACATCTAAGTATCTTAGATGTCTTAGTTTGCCAATGAAGTGGAGCAAATCATAGATACTGCCACGGGCACCAACCAAAGATAGAACCCTCAAACTCCTTAACTTGGTCAATAGATCAAATGGCACCTTGTTGAAAATGCATATAGGTGGATCTACTGAGCTAAGTGGCAAAAAGGTGCGCAGACCATTTGCTTTGTGGAAAGCCTCAAAGTTTATGGAGGGGTATCTGCATGCAATAATTTGTGATAAATAACGAGTTCTTTTCTCTGCTTCTTCATTTGAGTCATTTTCTAATCTGATGCAAAATTTTCCAGATACATATTGAGCTAAGTCATTTATAAGATCATGCATCACAAAGAGTGATTCACCATTTCTTGATTGTTGAAAAAATGACCTGGATACCAGTTCGTGAAAGTACTCATCTCCAACTTCTTCAATTCTCTTATTCCTCCTTGGTTCTTGTAGTAAATTTTCTGCCATCCACAACAATACCAACTCCTCCTTGTTAAATTCATAACCTTTGGGGAATATTGAACAATAAGCAAAGCATCGTTTTAAATGTGAAGGAAGGTAATAATAACTTAATCTCAGAGCTGGAAGAACATTGCTCATTGTATCTGACAACTCCCATATGTCACTGTTCAATATGTTCTCCCAATCTTTGACTTCTGTTTTTGAGCGTAAGAGCCCTCCTAATGTTTTTGCTGCAAGAGGCAATCCCTTACATTTTTTAGCAATTTGTTTACCCATCTCTTCCAAAATCAGGTTTGTTCTTGAGCTTCTATAATCAAATGCATGTTTTTCAAACAACATCCAACAATCATCATCTGACAAATATCTCAAATGATATGATGGAATAGTTTGCATTATTGATGCTACATGCTCACTTCGAGTAGTCACAATGATCTTACTCCCTTGAGCACCATATTGAAAAAGATTTCTCAGTATATCCCAATCAACATAGTTCTCGTTCCACACATCATCCAGAACAAATAAATATTTCTTTCCCATCAGCCTTTTCTTTAGTTCAACTTGAAGTGAATTCAGATCTCTAATTCCATAATTGCACATAGTAAGAATCTCCAAAACTGTTTCTGTAATCTTAAAAATGTCAAATTCTTCAGCAATACAAACCCAAGCTCTGAGATCAAATTTTTCCTTCACTCTGTCATCGTTGTATACAAGTTGAGCTAAGGTGGTTTTTCCAATTCCAGCCATACCAACTATGGGAATCACTCCTATCTTGTTATCACCACTTTCAACATCAAACAGTAGCTTAATTATGTCTTCTTTATCATCATCTCTTCCATATACATTAGACCCATCAATCAAAGATGTTGTTGGAGTTTTTTGAGACAGTTTGACTCCTAACCCCCCTGTGAGACCAAGGACATCTTTCTGACTTGCAATAAAATCTAATTTATCAATGATCTCCTCCATGTTTTCTTCAAGTTCTTTGTCATATGAGCTACAAGTAGAGTCAAAGTTTCTTACCTCAGCTGCACCATATTTAGCTCTAGTAAAAACCTCATCCAGTAGATCATCAGCCTCATATGCAGCATCTTTAAGTTCATCAAGCCATTCCTTGACTGCTATATTTGTAATTTGCTTTCCCTCTGCAGCATCAAGAACTCCATTAAGTGACAACAAAATCAGCTTCAACTTTTTCAGCAACTTGTAGTTTGGTTTCTTCCCTTTCAAGAAGCTCACTATCTCCGGTGAAGCTATTCTATCAAGCAATACATTAAAGACAGCACCCAAAAAAGCTCCACCAACGAGTACCAAAGCCATGATGTCTGAGTAAACACAAATATCGAATAAGACTGAAAGAAATTTTTGGTAGCCTCCGTATTGATGAATTGTGAACAATACAAAACCAAACTTGTTGACCCAGTTATAATAAGACAACATTGAAGGGCCCAACATATGGAAAAAGGATCATCTTTGTAGAAGGCTGACTTGGATAGGGATAAACAACGCAGGAAAAAGTTGGTAGTCTATACTCATATAGTTTAAAAAAGGAACTACGAAAGTTCAAGTTACTTGCTTATGTCAATTTTTAATGTAATTAATGAAAAAAGCAATTGCTTTTAAGTTTGCGGTTTCTTTTCTTTCTTTTGACCATTCTCCATTTGATGGTAGCAACAGTGATCAAAAGACAGAAAGAGAAAGTTCATTTTGGTTTCACACATATATAACTTGCATATCGCACAAATTCTTAGATATGTTTCTCGAACGCATTTTGGAATTTTGAGCTGTTCTGTCATATCAAATCTCAATCATGATGTTGGAATAAATGCTAAAATCATTACATGAGATTGTTTCAAAGACATTAGGAGTTAAAATCGGCCCATGAGCGGTTCAATATATCATTTCCACATCCTACAACACTAGTAAAAATAGAAAGCAATTAGTGATAAGTATCCTTGGCTTAAATTGATAAATCCCGGAAGCACATGTAAATAGTTGTCGTAGAAGTGCCTAGTCACTAAACCTATTGTGTTCATTTAATTAGTTTCCTACATGCACCCTGTTATCATATTTTCTCCTATGATTGAATTGCTACTAGCCTGATTTCCTATTAGATAATTGGAAGTTAACAGCAAATCAGTTCACATACAACCTTAAATTTCTAGCTGAACAGCATAAATCCTCTGGTGCTTCTTATTTATTTTTCAGCATTCGGACGAGGTATACATTTCTTTGTTGCATTTTCAAGTTCTAAACAGTTGCGTCATAAAAATGGAATGCATTAATAAACTCATATCAGGGGCATTTCTTCATCCTGTGTTTTCAGCCACTTTGAAATCATTTAGTTGTAGGATATTGTTAATAAGTTCATGTTATCTTTACAGGTCAATAAGGGGGTTCATACTTGAATTATATGAAGTTAGTGAGAAGATGGTGCTGCAATGTCTTTGACAGAACCGGGTAGATTGTTGCTATGCTCAACTAAATTCTTGACATGGCTCTCGGCCCTTCCTTGAATCGCGGTAACTTGTAAGAGTCTTTTTCATTGATATTTTACCATTTAAGCCAATTTATGTGGATTTATATCATCTATATTAAAACTATAAACACAACTTGCTTAAGAAATTTTTTTTTTTTTGGCTTCTCAAGGATGTCTCCACCCATTTGGATGGGATTAATCTCCTTCATGATGTAGGACGTGAAGGTTTTTATCACTGATAATTAAAAAAGCAACTGTTGGATGAGAAAAATAATTTACCCTCTAATTCTAAAAATTAAGAGCATAAAAAATCAAGGATTTTATTAATCTTATGTTAAAGTAGATGAGTAATCTCATGTCATAGAGACAAACTTGTGGGCTCCACCACTTGAAAAATAAAAAATAAATAAAAAAAAAGGTGACACAGTTATCGACAATGAAGCACCAACACTTCAAAAACTATGACGTGTTGTGTCCGACACTCTCGGACACTCCCCGACACTGCAACACGAGTTACAGAAATTCAAAAAAAGGTTCAAAGGTTAAGTTGCGTTAAGTTTTTAGTTCCAACTAATAGATTCGTTAGATTACGATTACTATTTTATTGTGTTTAATATAAATATTTGAGATATTTTATATTTCTTTGCAAAATTTATAAATATTATAAGTTTAGATATATATTTTTGTTAAATTATTGAATATTAAACATGATATATACTACATAAACTAAAAATATTATTTAATATCAAGATATGTCCTAATGTATCGAAATTTAACATTTTTTAGAATTAACGTATCGGAGTGTCGTGTCGTATCGTGTCCCGTGTCAGTCTCGGTGCTACATAGGTTATCGAAAAGTGTGTAAGAGAGAAATTTATCACATGTAGCAATATAGCATAAGAATAGTTTTTCCCAAAAACCAATATGCAACTGATTTTGTTCTTTTCCAAGATATCCATGCTTGTTATGGCGAAAAACTACATCCGGCCAATTATCAAGTACTCCATTGAGATAAAGGAGAAGAAGACTACAGAAATCTCTTTTCATTTCAACAACCACTTCCAACATCCGATGAAGAGAATATAGAAACAGCAAGTGTACCATCATAAATGTAACTAACACATAGACCATCAGATGCTAAAACCATAGTTACAATAGTGAATTATCCATTTAAGGGTACAACAAAAGACTGCATAAACGGTAAAATACCCAAGAGGCGTTGAATTATCTCATCATAAACATTCTTATACATTTTTCTTTTCTTTTTTTACTATCAGCCAACAAAGAATGAGAACATAAAACAAACACTATTGAAGCCTTTCAGCTATTTCCCCATCAATAGCTATTTCTACGTGTATACCATTAACAAAGGGCCTAGACTAAATAATCAATTTTGTGTTTCTAAAATACTCAAAATCACTTTCCTGAAAGTTTCTCTCTTATCTCGGTTCTTGCAACACGAATCAAGAACAAACCAGCAAAGAAAATAGATAGAATGAGCATAAAAAAGACACTGTTCCACCCCCTAGTTGAAATATACCCTGCCAAAAGTGGTCCAAGAGCAGCTCCAACAGAACCAGTACCATCTATGATTGCAGTAACAGTCGCCAGTGCTCTAGAATTCCCACCATTCAAGCTCTGCGTACCAAGATCAGCAGCCACAGCAGTTGTGATTAGTGAGTATGGACCATTCACCAAAAACCCCGAAAGAAACATTAAAGCAATGTTGGTCAACATAGAGATGCTACCAAAAGCACGATACAAAACAAGAGCTGGGATTGATAGAAACAAGAACAGAATTGAAGTAATAGCACGTGCTTCAATCATATCAGAAATGAAACCGGCAGTGATCCCGCCTAGGACTCCTCCAATGTCAAATATTGTTGAAAGTAACCCAGCAGTTTTGTGAGATATAGTTACACCCGCAACAGCTGCAATGAAATGAACACCAAATTAGCAATCAAGGAAAGAACATCATGAAAAAAGGTAAATTGACATGAGTTAACATAAACACTAGTTATTTTTCTCAGCATTCCAATTTCCTAGTTGCAAACCATGAGACAGTGCGTTAGAAAGATGGAACCACTAGTATAAATTAATTGGATATGAATAACGTGCTAGATTAAAGACAATGCAATTCTATCTAATTTATATACTTTTGCATGTATGAACAATTACCTGTGTGCCTTATGTAGAAGGGCAACCAATACAGAAAAGTGTAAGCCACAAGCTTTGAGAAAAAGAGACAGAAAGCAAATGGAGCCACTCCCGGTAACTTCCATGCCTCCAAAAACCCAATTGCAGATGAAGATTTTGAGTTATCAGACTCAATAAGCTTTGCTTCCTCCGATTCCACTTTCTGCACATTCTCTACACTGTCTGTTTCAACACTCAATTCGATCTCCATTCCAGGATGCACAAATCCCAAGTCCTCCGGGCTCACAACAAGAAACAAAAACACCAAAATCCCTACCAAAATGATCAAAAGTCCAGGCACCACAAATGACCAACCCCATCCAAATTCCAAAACTCCTGAAGCTACAACTGAACCAATGATATTGCCCACCGAGGTATGCGAATTCCATATCCCCATTATCAAGCCCCTCTTTGATTCCCCAAGCCAATTCCCCACAACTGCAACCACACAAGGCCACCCAATTGACTGAAATACTCCACAAACAATCTGTACACCAACAAAATATCCCAACACATGAACATCTAACCAATACCCTAACCCAAAAAGTAAGGTAAAAAGGCCACTACCCATCATCCCAAATACAAGGAACAACCTCAAATCAATCCTATCTCCAACATGACCTGCCAAATACATTCCAATTGAGTAAGAAATAAGGAATGCGAGATCAAGCTCGCCGAGCCGGTGAGTGCCCCCGGTTCCATTAAAAGGGGGCCAACCTGTATCATTGGAACTCAAGTTGGAAACTTGAGTTGAATTGGATGGAATTGTGGGTCCAAGAACACTCTTGACAATGCTGGGAGGCTTCCTAGAGGCATGGAAGGAAGCATATGCAAGGAATGTGATAACAAGAACACAGATTTGGTGGAATAGTAGGGTTTTATGAGGGGGTTTCAGGCCTGGAAAGAGTGCCACAGCTGGTGCTAGGCTCAAACTCTTCGATTGCATTGTTATTCATGAGGATTCTAATGTACACATAGAATATAATCTAGCACAATTGCACAAAGATCAAATCTTTCCCCCTCTCTCTCTTTGTTGTTTTTTCTCTCTTTCAAATCTGCATAGAATATTAGAATCTATGATCTGAAGAATGTAAATAATGGATCCAAGATTGGAGATTGGAATTGCATACCGAATGAGTAAAAGGGTTTACTATATCCGTCACGAAGAGACGATTGTTGACATGAAATCGTAAATTTGTCCCCCTTTTTTTTTCTTTAAGGGAAAAAAGCACAATCTTAGGAGTGGTCAGAAGATAGGGCAGGTGATTTTCGTGGGAAGGAAAGTGCCATGAAAAAGCATTGACATATGATCACAGATTTTATGGAACATGGAAACCAAAGAAACGCAGGAAACTGGTAAGACATTGAATTCTAGGATCGAAAGTCAAAAACGTTCGTGTCGGGTTGGGATCAGGCTAAGTGACTTCTCGAAAATATCCATGGAAAATTCAAACTTCGAAAGGACAATATTGTCTTTTTATTATCAAAATGGATTTCTTATTTTCTTTAATCTAATTTAATTTTGAAAAAAAAGTTTCTAACGTTACTTTATACAACTTTGTCTAATGTTCATTAAAATGACGTCGTTTTGAAGTTAAAAAATTAAAATGATAAAAACTATTATAACCCTGAAATAAATTAAAATTATAAAAACACCATATTTTCTGTCCTAAAATAACATCATTTCAATGAATATTAGATAAAGTTATCTAAAATAAATTTAGAAAAAACAAACCCTTAAATTTTCTAACCAAAACAAGAAGAGTTTTTTTTCCCCGTAAAACACGTAGTGTTTGAATATTACAATGACGCTAGAGATTATGATATCTTATATCTTTCTTTTTTTTGGTAACAATAATATCTTATATCTTTGATAAGGTATTTATGCATTAGTAGAAATATTTTCTTTTCTTTTTCTTTTAATGGCCAAATTAAAACTAAAACTAGCAACTTCTTCCATCCATATTTGGTTTTAACCAGATGTTAGAAAATAATATAAACTATTGAAAAAACATTCATTCAATATCTTAATATTTTGGGTTGAGATGGTTCTTTACATGATATCAGAGCTTTAGTGGTCACAAATTCGATTCTCACCGTCCTCTACTTTCGAGTGAAATTAAAATAAGCATAAAGTAAAATAAAAAACATTGGGCATGTGCAATTGTAACACCCCATTTCCAAAACAAGATATTACATAGGTACAGAGTGCACATCCAAATAAGCAAAGCTTCCAAAGACTCCACGTAGATATCTCAATAGTTATCTTGAAACTACGAAAGAATAAAAGTTTTCCTATATTCCTTTACTATTCACAATTGACAATTTAATAAAACTTACTTTAAATCCTATAGACTTTATTCAAAGAAATACGGATATCATTACTTCTGTAAACTGGTGGACAAAACCAAATATCATAACATCTGTAAATTCAGAATATCCAAAACGTAACAAGATTATATCCAACATGTTAACCACAACACTTAGATCATCACACAACTCCAACACACATGTAGATATTCCCATCCTATGAATATAAACTAGTGGCGTATCACACACCTGCTGATGAAACTATTCCTCAAACTGTTTTATGATACAACCCATAATTTACATAAATCAACACACCATATACTTATTTCGCAAATCACAAAAATAACAGCAATAGATATGAAGCACATCCAAATGGCACACGCTCCCTACTGTGTATGTTGACCTTTTATTCAGATTCCTTTTCTTTTGAGAACCACTTGATGACGAACCTGAAAATGTTCCCATAACGCGGGGTGAGATTGATAATCCCAATAAACTAAATGTTTATAGAATGTTCTCCCATTCTCAGGCTCACTTCCTGCATAATTGGTCAGTGTACACAGAACACAGAGACACAAATAGTTCATGCAACTTCTTACAAACAAATTCATTTATTTATTATCTTACAGTTAATCGCACACTGTCATTATAAAATATTATTTAATAATTATGAAGTAAAATTTTAGAAACATATAATATAAGTTTTTACTTACAGACAAACATACAGTAATTTAACTACATGAATTTATTACTTTAATTTATCAAATACCACAATTCTTACAGAAAACTCTTACCGTACTTTAATTTATCAAATACAGTAATTATAAGTTTTTGCCAACTTGATACTCTCGGATATTATTTCCAAGTATCATAGCATCCACAATATATCAATTTATTTGTTCTTTAAATTCAATTACGGTAATCCCATATACCAAAATACAGCAAAACGTATAAACGTATCAATTAACACAAACAGCAAAACGTCAGAAGACTTTACAAATATATTTTATCAAACAAAAAGCAGAATCTCAACAAAATAGATAAATGTATTTATTTAAGCATATAACAGATAATTAATAAAAACAGTAAACGTAATTAATTAAATCAATAGTAAAGAATGAATAAAAATCAGTAAACAAAATGGATTTATACAAACAACATAACCACAGAAATAGTAAACGTAATTATTTAAACAAACAGCGTAAAATAACAGAATTAGTAAATGTGATTTATTTAACAAACAACAAAGAATAACCGAAAAATGGTAAACATAATTTAATCAATAGACAACCACACCAAACAATTATCAGACAAACAGAACACAGAATGCAAATAAAATCTCTACTCTTTTACTTCACACAATAGTCACTCATTATCATTCAACTACCATTTATTTACACAACAACTTATAATTTATTCCACCAGAGCCACTCATTATTTGAATGAACTCTACTTGTACGACCATATTCTTTACTAGCCTCGTACTGGAATTTCACTTATAATATATATATATATATATATATATATATATATATATATATATATATATATGTATAAATCTTCCTTTACAGATTCATATCATCATTTATCATTTCGTCATCAGCATAATGCTTCACTTCAGTACACACTCATATTATTCAATTTACAGATTCCTTAAATCTACTGCCACAGAATTACAGTACACATATTTCCAACACTTTCTTTTCATAGACATAATTAATTCATCTTTGAAATAATGCAAACCATATAATTCTCATTAACGTACCAATTATCAGTACCTTACACAGTAGAATTCCCATTTCAATTATATCAACAGAACACCATATTTATTTACGTTAAACTTACTCTTTAATAAGAAGGTACTTAAAAGAAGGAAGTGTGTTTGTAGAAAGGAGGCCATGATGTGGTGAAGGGTAGAAGCTAGGGAAATAGGGACAGTGACCAACCGTAAGCTTAAGGTGTCTTGTTGCACATGTTGTAAACAGGTGCCTTCTTGAAACTTGACCTATGTTTTCACAGGGGGCGGCCGAACGCGCATTACTGGTGGAAAAGGTACTCTGGGTGTTTTCTTGGGAGATGAAGAGCAGTACCCTGTCATCATAAATAAAGCATTGTCTACAGATGAAGAAGACAAGCTGCTAGAAGTGCTTAAAAGGCACAAGAAAGCCATTGGGTGGTCTATTCTGACTTGAAGGGCATCAACCCTTCTTGTTGTACTCACAAGATTCTCATGGAAGACAATGTCAAACCAGTGAGACAGCCTCAGAGGAGACTAAACCCCACCATGAAGGAAGTAGTCCGCAAGGAAGTGATGAAGCTCATGGATGCTGGGATGATTTACCCAATTTCTGACACTGCATGGGTGAGTCCAGTACAGACAGTTCCAAAGAAAGGAGGAGTAACTGTTGAGAAAAATGAGCAGAATGAGTTAATCCCCACCAGAACCATTACTGGGTGGAGGATGTGTGTGGACTACAGGAGACTGAACGATGCTACAAGGAAGGATCATTTTCCCCTTCCTTTCATTGATCAAATGCTAGAGAGGTTAGCCGGGCATGATTTTTATTTCTTCTTGGATGGTTATTCCGGCTACAATCAAATTCCAGTGGCACCAGAGGATCAAGAGAAAACTGCTTTCACGTGCCCATTCGAAGTTTTTGCTTACAGAAGAATGTCATTCGGCCTCTGCAATGCACCCGCGACATTTCAAAGGTGTATGCTTTCTATCTTCTCTGATATGGTAGAAAGATGTTTAGAGGTATTTATGGATGATTTTTTTGTCTTTGGTTCTTGCTTTGATTCATGCTTAGTTAACTTAGCTAAGGTTTTGAAAAGATGTCAAGAAACTAATTTGGTTTTAAATTGGGAAAAGTGCCATTTTATGGTGCGAGATGGTATAGTGTTAGGCCATAAAATTTCTTCAAGAGGCATTGAGGTTGATAAGGCTAAGTTAATGTTGATTGAAAAACTTCCCCCTCCCGTTAATGCTAATGGTGTGCGAAGTTTCTTAGGCCATGCAGGTTTTTATCGAAGATTCATCAAGGATTTTTCAAAGATTGCAAAGCCTCTTAGCCAGCTGTTGATGAAGGACAATGAGTTCTTTTTTGATGAAGCTTGCCTCACTGCATTCAATGTGTTGAAGGAAAAGCTTACCACGGCGCTTGTTTTGACGGCGCCAGATCGGAGTCTTCCATTTGAACTCATGTGTGATGCGAGCGCATACGCAATGGGTGCAGTACTGGGTCAACGTAAGAACAAGTTGTTGCATGTTATTTACTACGCTAGCAAGGTCTGTAATGAGGCACAGGCCAACTATGCCATTACTGAAAAGAGATGCTAGCAGTAGTTTATGCTTTAGATAAATTTAGATCCTATTTGATAGGTTCTAAAGTTATTGTATTTACTGACCATGCTGCTCTTAAGTATTTGATGACCAAGCAGGATGCAAAGCCGCGGTTGCTGTGATGGATGCTCTTGTTTCAAGAGTATGATTTAGAAATCAAAGACAAAGCGGGAGTGGAGAATAAAGTTGCTGATCACTTGTCTAGGATTCAAGATAAGAACTTACAAGAGGGACCTGAAATTGAGGTCAATGAATCTTTTCCTGATGAGCAAGTGATGGCAGTACTTATGCATCCATGGTTTGCAAACTTTGCAAATTACAAAGCTGCTGGTTCAATGCCTGAAGATCTCACTTGGCAGCAGAAGAAGAAATTCCTTCATGATACAAGGAGGTACCACTGGGATAACCCTTTTCTTTATTTTCAATGTGCTGATGGTGTTATTCGCATGTGTGTAGCTGAATTCAAGATGCCGGATATTCTGTGGCATTGTCATGCATCTGACTATGGAGGACATTTTGGAGGCAACAGATCTGCACAGAAGGTGTTGAAAAGTGGGTATTATTGGCCCACAATTTTCAAGGATGCACGAGACTTTGTAGAGCGATGTGATAAGTGCCAGAGGACGGGAAACATATCCCGCAAGGATGAGATGCCCCTCA